TGTGGGCCCCGCTCAAATATCCACCCCGAGACGCGCAGAGTAACATGAGATGGAGTCAAAGGTGGTGAAAAAAGAAGTGCGTCTGCCCTAACGTAAACAGCACCGTCGGATAGCCTACAGGGTACCGAAAAGAGCAAGGAGACGAGCTCTTGGAAACAGGGCAAAAGAAGAAATGACCGCCAAAGCAGGATTATGAAAGTTCGATAAGTAGCGACTCGGACGTGGGCTAACGACTGACCCTCGAACCATGTGGCTCGGACGGATCATCTGCAGGGTCAACCATTTAAACGGCGGAGGAAGCCGGCCCATATGGACGTGCGACGGAACGCCTTCTCGCAGAGGGTCATTGGAGCTTGGAACGGACGAGGTTGTCCTTTCAGATACTGTTGAGATATTTAAGTTCAAACTGAATTCTAATTTACTGAGAAACTGTGATACATACAATGAACATTGTGTCAGTAGCGGCAGTTTGCAACTGGCTCACACATCTCGCTGATGTTAACTCTACATTGGCTTATAGTTAAAGTTGAACTCTTTTGCGATTTTTGCATATGAATAGGGAGCTCAAGGGCGAAGGCCTCCTTCGCTTAATAAAGTGACTATGTAGGACCCTCAGTGACGAAGGCCAGTTTTGCTAATTGTACTAGGCACGTTGTGGCATAGTAACTGCGTGCTATAGAAACTACACTCCTTCCACCTTCATCACCCTTGTCTGCGACCGTCTCCGAGGATAACTTCGAGTGGGAATCCGAAACGTTATGTCAATAAACTTCATGTTCCAGTGATCGCTCCTACTCCTTCTTCTGAGTTAACAGGGTGCGAAATGTTTGCGGTCATCTGCGAACAGGTCAAAGGTCAGTAAATAGATCAGAGACTAGCAGTCATCGTAGAATTTATATGTTAAGTTAGCATCGCCTAGACAGAGGCCTTGGGACAATTAAAACGGGTTAGTTTATAGTAAAACCTCAACACGCAAAAAGATCTGCGTTTAAGATACACAACTGCTAGATGAAAACCAGCTACCTGTAAACGTAAGGTTCCTGCTTTTTCATCAACGGCAATTTAAAACTAGACTGTCAGCAAGAAAGCACACGGGGAACGCTGGGGGCACCATTAAAGAGCCAAACCCCTCACATTGGCAGAATATATCGGCGAATTACATTTCTAGGCTTTTTGTAAATGCCTGTGCTGTCAGTAAGGTCCGCATGTAACCCATGGGTAAACAAACTGCAAAATTCAAGAGCCCAATTTAAAGAAATCGTCCTCGTTCCAGAATGTTCCCTAAACATAGCTTCGGTGCGTCGAAGTGTACGAAAGAACCTAAATTATCCCGCACTCAAAACAGTCAAAATTAAAACAAATGCAAACATGGATAGCTGCTGATTAAAGCGAATGGGCGAATGCGAGAAAGCCGTTGGAAAGGAGACTCGATCACTGGAAATTATGCCAACTCTCAGGTCGCGCCTTATTCGAAGGGATCAAGCGACATCTTCAAGTTAGGCAAAAACAAAATCCTCGCGATAGATGACACTGGCATGAACCGCGAGCTGCTTGCGTCGTGGTTCGCCGGTTTGCAGTCCATTAGCAAGCTCACTGGCCTACCCTCCGCTTACTCAGCCCTCAGACTGTCTGAGCAAGGGGTTTAGTTAAGTGGATGGTGTGTGTGGTGAAAACCGCCTCTGTGGGTCAAACCACTGACACTGATGATGAAAGTGTGCCAATGAAGGACTGGGACTGCATGCGATCCTTTCACAGAGCATGACCATCCACGGGGAATTCGACAGATGCCCATTTTAGTAGGCATGTGATTACAAGTCACTGCATCTCACCAATAGTACACACCTTGTGCACCTACTATCTTTGTGTCTGATGAGGGAATCGAGAGCAAATCCGAAACGTCGGAGCAAGGGAATCTAGCCATCGAGTCCCCTTCACAGACTCAGCTGACTGCCTATCATAAGTACGCTTTGATCTGGCTCTATACCAATAGTTTACCCACCCATTGTTCACATTGATGTCATGAACTTCCTAAAGCCGAACGTGACCCAAAAACGGCCTTATAATAGGCCCTCCACGGTCGGCTAACTTTATAGGCCTTTTTCTCGCATGATCGGTCTCGTTCAGATGGATAGCCAGGCTTAGGCGCCTGTTTAACGACTAAAAGGCCATTAGACTCGAACAGCCAGTTTTGTAGGTGTTTAATAACTAGGCTACTCAATTGAATGGTCCAAGATGAGACGAGACCAGGAACATGTTTGACGCGCCGAGATAAAGCTCCCGCATCCTTAATAACTGAAAAATAGAACTGGTGAAATAAGTACTCGACAATAGTCGACTTTCAAAGGCAGTGTTTTACTGTTCAGGCAGCAAAAAGGTGATTTCTCGCTCGCAACGCCCCCAAGGGAACTCATTAATTTCACAACGAAAAAACAAGCCATTGAGTTTTACTCGCGTGCCTGCAAACGCCTCCCCCTCCCATCCCTACGCCCGGCAGTGAACTTGCGATGATCAAACGTCCTGCAGCTAAAGCTACAACAGCTACCTGTTTTTACCCGGGTCGAAATTATAGCAAAGCGTCTCGATGCTACACGCAGGCATGCAACCAGGGAACACGCCGAATGGTAAAAAGAATGCAACGGACACAAAAAGAGACGTAATTTGCATAAACCTGGAGCGAAAAATGAAAAGCGAGAAGAAAGGGGACGCTAGGTCCAGGGGATCGACACCCTCGATAGGATCCGCGCTAAAAAAATTATGCGCTCAGGCGAATGTTTTGAACACAAGCGAATGAACACGGCTCTCGAGCAGAGCAGTAACAAGTTATATTCTTCTTAAATCCTGCCCAGTCAATAGACGTCCTATCATTAATCACTACCCACAAGGAAACCCTACTTCCCTACTTCAACTTGTGCAGCAGTTCAGCTCAAGCGAAGAGGTCTGAGCAGCCGTGTCTCCAGAGTTAAAAGGAATTACTTGTTTAGCAACTTATGCAATTGTGTATTGTTTACACGTGATTTACATGAACTTTGAGGGTGGTCGCTGTTTTGCATTTATATCCGCGGTAAAAGGAAATCTGTGGCTTGCAGAGGTGAATATTTGTTTAAGTGTTAGAGTAAGGGGAAAGTTATACTGACAGTCTTGCGCAAACGCATAACGAACTTTCCGTTTGAACAACCGAAGCATACGCCAGGTTGACGTTCGTACAACGTCTACAGAGTTTTTAGAGCTCTTCGCCGGCCTAAATTTGGCACCTGGTCCGATTAGCACGCATAAGTATAGGGCTCGCCCAAGTTAATTGTAATTCCCAAAAACGTATGCGCGCTTGCCGGTCAAGACTGATTAACTCTACGTGAAATGAAAAGAGTGCATAGCTTTTTTTCGCCAACAGCGGATCAACTTGATAGCATTTGCTAACAACTGTCCAAGTGTCTCTGGTGTTATGTTAAATTGTACTAAGTAACGAAGCGCGTTGCATGCCTTTTCGCTATTTTTATGAAATCTTGTATCGTGGTATGCTTCACTGAGAGTTGTTGTAATGCGCATTCGTGGTGCAGAACTGTTTCGGGGAAGTAAAAATACCTCTCCTACGGCATCTTCTCAAGCAGAGACTGACGAGATTTATGAACCGGGAAGTTGCGTTTTCGCCTGTAGCTGGTGTAGCAGTGACGAATAGAGGAACTTAAATTAGTACAAATATTTGCTTAGCAATTTTATTCAGCCTGTCACAAAATCGATGATATGAGATGTTGAAATTTCTGATACCTAAGAAGAAGAAGACGCCGAATTGCCGATTATTCTGGAAAGGGCATCATCTTCAGAAGATAAATTGACGAACATATGTTTGTCTTCGATAGATTCTCGTCAGGCCTTTACATTTATATAGTAATGAAATAATTAAACAATGTTGGTTGGTGGAAAAATGACATTTTGACCTCGATCCCCCCACCGACCCTGACAACAACAAAACTACATCTTTTAACCAACCAGTATAGTCTATTTATTTCATTACCACATCAATGTTAAGACCTGACGAGAAATTATAGAAAAAAATGTATGTTCGCCAATTTATCTTCTGGAATTTTCAATGGGAATTTTCGCAATTAAAAAAAACAGATACAGCAGACTATGTCGTATGAAGTGAGGAATTTTTATGAAAAATATTCCAGTTATCGAACACTGCGTAGTAATGAAAGACGCAACTTTATCAAAATACTTCTCTCCTGTCGGTCGGAGGACTGTTAGGGCTGTACAACGGTCCAGTGACACGCAAAATGACAATGCTAAGGCGTATGCTGAAACAAATCTATCAAATCTTCTTCCCCCTTATATGCAGTCAAGTGGCAAACCACAGACACACTTCTGAGTTCCCGTTCGTGTTTATTTGTGTCAACCAATGAGAAAATCTACTGAATAGGCTGTTACTTACTTGTAGAAAATGAGACTCTCGCGATGACTGTTCAGACGAACAGTGATCAAATCTGCATTTTTTGGTCTTGCTTGATAATGGCGTTTACAAATGTCCTCGCTGGGACTTTAGCTGTTCTATAACGAAAGCATGCCGACTTGTACAGCCTTTTTTCTTCAAAAATTTTAAACACAACTAACAAGACTTGGAAGTTCGCTGTTGCAACACAGGGATGTAAGGCCTGTTAAATTAAAAATTCGTTGTTTTACATGACAGACACTTCACGCAGAGCGAAATGCGTTAGGCAAAGTCGTTTGGGAGGAAATCAAATGGTGCCCCCAAACAACCGAGAGGACAGTTATCTTGATTTCCGGAGGCTAGCAAGTGGATTCAAGAACATGAAACTATGTATGAAAACCCTATTTGGCGTTAATGTAGGAACGCAGCTTGTCCAAACAGGATTTCAACTCTACTAAAAAGTCTAGTCAAATTAATGGCATAAACACAGGTGCGTATGTGCCACTGATGTAGTAAAGCATGGGGATATAGGCATCTTTTAAAAAGTTCGGCGGAAAAACACCAGTAACTATTCATCATGCTCATACGAACTGCAGTAATTGCGACTACACTAATTAGACGAGCAGGCCTCATTCTCGGCATGTGAAACTTAGTGAACAATGGTTTATATTGAAGCACTATTTTCACGTTAATGTATGCATATATAGAGAGAGGAGGGACGATAGACAGTGAGGGAACACACTCGTCCGTCCATGTTACCATTAGAGCTCTCACTCGAGCCTCCACCGCGGAGCGACTAGAATATAGGCAAAAGGACATTACCAAGGTAATGTAAAAGTCAATGACCAAAGGTCCCGAGCTCGAATCTCTGGGGTTCCGACCCCTGAGATTGGGTATAACTGGCTGATGGTGGCTAACAAGCCAAAAATGGCCATCCCGGTCTCCCTTGTCTTTGTCGGGTTCATTCCATCCTATCCTCATAGTCACTATTTGACTGCCTACGCGGGCTCTAATTGCAAGCTCCTATGCGAAGCTGAACTTAATTGTTCCTCTACCAGATCGGCGAAGCTCATATATTCATATATAAACATACCTGGTCAGTGCGTTGGACAAGGTCGCGGGATCCAACCTCGGTGATCGCCACCCCCTGGGGTTGGGTATAACTGGCTGATGACGGCTAATAAGCCAAAAACGACCATTCTAGTCTCCCCCTGTCTTTGTCTCTAATGCATTTCTGCCTATAGTATATACGTGTGCGTGAAGAGTGCTAACTGTTTAGGTATATGCACTGAATAAAAACAGTTATTTTGTACACAAGATCGGAACTTCACACGTACCTTCGTCCAAATCTCCGCGGGCAGCAGCCTCTAGGAGGATGATGCCCTGTGAAAATTGGACGGACTTGATCAGGGATTTTCGGCCCCCAACCGGGCTCATGGGAAGGCCCTTCTTCTGTTTTTTCTGCATGTCCTTTTCTATGGATTTGTCGTATTGGTACCAGCGTTTGAGCTGTTGCTGGCGCTTGCGCCGAGCGTTGCGAATGCGTTCCATGTCAGGAACCCGGATGACTGGCAGATCACAGGCATCCAGACCGCTCATTGCCGTGGCTATGCAATCGACAGAAGGAGAAACAAGTGAGGCGATTCATGACACTGAAAAAGCTTATGCAAAACGGGGCGGAGCAAAGAAGGTGGAATCTTCACAGAAATCATGCCAGAAGATGCATGAGTTATTTGATTTTGCAGAAAATGCGGCTTCAACCGCCTGTTCTTTTACATTGAAGGCGTAAACAGTTGCGATAAATTTTCGAGACACGTCAATTTCCTTATTTGGCAAGGCATGTGACCAGGGGAGAAAATGTCCCCCTTCGAGCAAACATGTGGTGAGTTATGACGGTAGATTCCAGGAAATGGCAACCGAAATTTTAGAATCTGTTTTCAATTCGAACGGATTGCTAAAGTTGGGTTGTAATACTGATAAAGGTATGGCCTAATCTCAAGATATTTAAAGTTGGCCAGGATGCTGGCTTCTGAATAAGTTTTTTTCTGACCGTCTGTAAAAAGTATATTTTGTAAAACAAATGGCTTCTTCGAGAGTATGCATTTTACTCATTGCTTTTTAATGCCTTTATAAATTTTAGTCTATTTCTGGAAACATGCATAAAAATATTCTCGGTAGGAGATCACGCCTTCTTCAAATTATATACTTGAAGGAAGCCTATTTTTAGTTCCTATTTACGAGAATTTTTAGGACCGTGGAATGTACATTTATAATAAACCGTATCCGTGAAGTTATTAATGTTGCCTATAACGTATATAACATTACCCACATCCATTGCAAAATTTTATGAGCCATGCGATTCCTTCCCCACAGCATAAGGAAATATGCTCGATTCCTTAGACAGAATATTTACAGATCTTAGTTTGGAAACCTTGAAGGCAAGTAGGGTTCAAAATTAGTCGGCAATTTAGACACGTTTTTAAAACTGAAAGATGCCGTCTCTTCAAGTATAATTGCTTAAAGTTTAATTAGAAAAGGGCCTAATGCGCCACAAGACTAGTAAAAAAAGATAATTTTTATAAATGTTTTCTATTAAACTCCTTTAAATTTATGAGGGCCTTGAAAATCTGTGAGAAAATACGTACTTCTTAAGTCGCCTCTTTTACAAAGTACGCTTTTTGCTGACAGTCAGAAAGGAGTTCCTTCAAAAGCCGCCATCCTGACATGACTGAAAAAATCCTGGGGTTATGCTGCACGATAATTTATCTTACAACTCCACTTAAATAAACTTCCCGGGTCAAAAACACAGTTCAGAAAGTTGGAAATCTATTGTATAGTCGACTAAATCAAACAATTCCTTTTTTATTTCACTGATTGATGCTACTTTAAAAATGTAACCAAAGTACTTGATTTAAAAGGCAGGGAAGACACACACCCGGTGATAAAAAAACTTGCAGTAGTAGAAGTGACAGTGATAGAATTGTGCTCGATCCCCCCACCCCCCCCAGTCGTCCTGACTCGAGCCTCCAACTGCAGCCCGGCGGAAGAAAGTGTGGAAAGTGCGGCAGACGCTGCGCAAGTCTCTTATCACTGTAAACTAACTCATGCGCACGTCGCATTGCTGTGGGGCACGCGGTGAACATCTTACATCGCGACGGTTGTGCGACTAATGCAGCTATAAGTAAATACCGAGGCCAATTAAAAG